CTGGTGTTGTCCCTCTCAGGGCCATGGGTCAGTGAGGGGCATCATGTCTCATAGTAGGGCTGGCCATGTGGTCCTCTCTGGACTGGCTTCTCTAATTGGGGTCATCGTCCTCAAGGCCTGGTGGGCCAGGATGTGCTCCAGTCTCTCCTCCTCCTCCGTCAACTGCTCCTGTGTGCTCTGGTCAGATATATCCTTCTCCCGGAGCTACGGATTCAGTACCATCCTTTGAAATAACTTGTTCTCGGGGGAGGGGCAGGCATCCACTTAATATTTGGGACTGGGGCCAGCCCCCCAGACCTCTCCACTGGTTCCCTACTCTGCGCCAGACATGTTGTATTTACACCTTGGAGCACTGGGTTGAAGTCTGGTCCCTCTTTTCCTGTGGAGATGTAAACAATAACCCTTGGGTGGGTTAGCGCCCCGTGCCCTCACTACCCATTTCTTCCTTATTTTCATCATTTTTTTTGTTCCCTTTCCCTACCTCCTCCCCAGTTGTCTACCATGTACATCTCTGCATTTGATCTGGTCCCTTCCATACTACCCAGTCCTCACCCCAAGAATGGTTGTATGTAGTAGCTTTTTCCCTATGCCCCTTTTGCATTTTTTTTAACACTTACCTCAGCGGACTAATGTTTTACTTGTTCTTTTGTGCCTTACTTACTTCACTTAGCATGATTTCCTCCAGCTCTTCCCATGCAGCGATGTGCTTCATACATTCATCACTGCTTTTTAGCGATGCGTAGTACTCCATTTTATGTATATACCACAGTTTTTTAATCCAATGTGTAGGTCCTGAAACTTCACAACAAATCCAGTTGCTATGAATTCAGCTTATTTGGCTTCAAGTCACACTGCAGCGTTCTGCCACTCTCATTTGGTGGGAAACACAGTCCACCAGTTTCCTTCTGGTGGCGACTTCCTGTGCACGCAAATAGAATTGTGGTCCATAGAATTGTACGTGGGTCAGGGTCCTCCTTGTAGTCCTTGAGAAATATAAATAGTGAGCATACTTCCATACTAAGTGTAAGGTTGGCATTTACGTTCACCTAGAAGCATGGACGAAGGAAAACCTGCTGCTCTTCTCTTAAAAACAAACAAACAAAACCCAGGTAATGAAAACCTCCCGCGTCATACTTCTGCATTGACGTACCTGGGGTCCTCATGAATCAGAATTGACATAACAGCCATTGATTATGGTAGAAAACAGTGGTGATTCAGTGGTATAATTCATGCCCTCCTGTGAGGGTCAGGAGAGTCAGGTAAGTTTGATTCCCACTTAGTACATCTCATAGACAGTCACCACCTGTCGTCAGTGAAGGCTCATTTATTGCTATGGTATTAACGAGGTTTCTGGAGAGCTTCTGGAGTAAGACAGGCTAGGAAGAAAGTGCTGGTGATATACTTCAGGGAATCAGCTAATAAGCACTCCATGAACCACAAAAGTCTGATTCCCAACCTGCCAGGGGAATGGTTCAGGAAGGGGGTGGTATTTTGTTTTGTTGTGATGAGGTTACCATGTGTCAGGGGGCCAAATGTAGACAACAAACATCAATAATTCAAAGCCAGAAGACTTTGAGTTGGTCCCAGAAAAAATTATTATACACACTTGATGTCATTATCTAACTTTTCATTTGAATTTCACATTTTCCTCACTTCTTTAAATCAATCAAACCCGAACAGGTATTCCTGGAGGACCTCTGAATGGAAGGAATGCCAAGTCTCACTTCTCCTTGCGCAGCAAGACCCCCACTGGCATGCAGCAGGACATGTCTGCGGTGGTGGCATCCAGACCAGGGACGTGTACTGTGCCCAGGATGTGCCAGCCTCGTCTGCACAGAAGACCAAGGAAGGTAGGCAGTCCGCCTCTGGGGCAGAGGGTGCTGCTGCCGCCAAGGGAAATCAAATAGCCACATCCATTCTCCAATCTGGTTTGCTTTTAAGAACAATATTTTGTCCATGGCTTGCACACCACACCTACCTTTAGGGTCTTTGTGAAAGTTAAATGTCAAAACAACCTCTGATTTGTAGCACAGATGACATATTATAAGCTAAGGGACTAGCATGCTGGAATGACTCATGGAATTTTTCACAAAGTGTATGTGTGTGTGTGTGAATTTGTGAATCTGACCATTTCCATAAATATATCCCATTTGAAACATCAAGGACCCATCATTTAAGTTCCACCCGTTAACCGAAGGAGAAGAAATCCCCTCC